ACTAGGGGCCTAGACTTCTGGGTCTGGGAGGAGGAGAAGACTGAGAGCCTGAACTCCTGGATTTTGAGGGAGGAGGGAACTGGGAACCTGAAAGGTTGGGGTCTAGGGATGGGGACTCCTTGGTCCCAAGAGTCACTGGCCTGCCCACGGATGACAGATTCGAAGTTCAGTATTTTATGTGGCTCCTATGGGATTGGAGCCAGACAAGTGTTGTGGGTTGTGAGGTGGGGCTTGACTAGAGATGATGTAGAGGCTTAGGAGAAGCTCTGACCTCAATATGCCCTTTCCTCGTCCCTGAAAGGGAAGTCAGGGGCAGGGTGCTGTCTGTGAAAGGAACCCACGGAGTGGGAGGAGACTTGAAACTCACGTGGAGACGAAAAGAAAAGCACAGACAGGAATGGAGAGATTAGGATTTTGAAATTAATGGAGTTCTTGAATGGAGTTTACTGTGGCCCAGGTTCTGTGCTAAGCATTTTACACAATTATCTCATATCTTCTTCATAACAGATCTAAGAGATTGGATTATTATTATAATCCCCATTTACAAGTGAGGAAATTGACACCCAGGGAGAGAGAATCAAAACGTAAAGAGACAGGAGAGACACAAAACACAGATGGTGATAAACAGATAAACACAGACCCAGAGAGGGAAGAAAAGATAAACAAGGGGGGGGGGGGGGAGAGGAGCTGAGAGCCAGGACACTGCGGGGGGGGGGGGGGCAAAGGGGGTTGGGGGGGGCCTTGAGGGGACAAGGCTCCTGGGTCCTGGAGGAGGAAAGACCAAGATGGGGACCCTCGGTATTTCCTACCCTGACTCCCACATACCATGCCGTCCAGCCCTTCTTGCTCTGGGCATTTGGCCTGGTTGGGGTCAAAAATAGTGATTACAGGGAGCAGCTGTGTCATTATCCTATTAGGAGATGATAAGAAAATGATTCATGGGGGTGCCCTGGGCCTGGGAGGAGCCTTTCCCCCACAGCCTCTTTGATCTGGACAGATCAGACCTCAGAGAGGACTCGGGAGGGGCAGGGCCCTCTCTGTCCCTCTCCATCGCTGAGTCTCCATCACTCAGAACTATTGCCAAGTTCCTCGTGGAGACAGATGAGGCACCCGGAGCAGCAACAACTTCGCTGATGGGTCTTCACTCTCTGGGTCTCTCTACTTTCCCCCAGACCTTGAACCAGTGCCCACCGGAGTCCTGGCTCAGCCAGGGGGCTCAGCCAATGCTAACGGAGTGGATGGACAACATCCACATCACTCTATGCATCTCTTCTTCTGGCCCCATCCTGCCATCTCTCGTGTCCCCAACATGTTTCACTCTTCAGCTGCCCTCTGGTCTCCCTCACCTCCTCCCACCTTCCCTTTCACCGGTGTTTCTCCCAAAGCCATTGGACCCCCATCCCATAGGGAGAAACTGAGGCTCACTTTGGAAGGTGCCGACCTCGCAGGGCCCCAGATAAGACACAGTACTAGCACCTCAGAGTCAGAAATGCAAGAGCACACAGAACACGTGCCCTTACGACACGTGCCTGAGGTAATCTTGCATTTACACCCACACAATCAGAGAATCACACACACAACACATGCAATCGCCTACCAACACAAACAGAGGCACACAATCTCAGAATCACTGCGGACAACACATCCAGAAATATCCTATCCCACATGCAACACAGATACCCCCATCATGCAGTTACATGCCAGTCACTGATGGACATCCAGCCAGTTCCTACTCGAACTGTGAACTAAGACTTGGTTTTATTTACTGTTGTATCCCCAGCAATTCGAACAGATCCTCCTCCTCCTCCTCCTCCTCCTCCTCCTCCTCCTCCTCATCATCATCATCATCAGTACCATGAACACAAAGTATTTCCTATGTGCCAGGCACAAGTCTAGGCACTTTACATGAATTAACTCATTTAATCCTCTCAAAAACTCTACTTGTGACAACCCATTTTGCAGATGGAAATTGGAGGTCCAGGACAGGTTATTTATTTGCTCAACATTTCACAACCAGTAAGAGGCCATCAGGATTTAAACTCAGGTTTTTGTCCATTGCGCAAGGCTACCACTCAATAAATAATGCCAGCCTTAATCCAGTCAGAATTACAGAACCTTGACAGCTAAGACCACACCCAAACTCAGGCGCACAGTGGGTAGTAGAATCAGAGAAGCCAATAGAAACACACAAATAGGAAAACCCCTTCACACCCCAGAACACAGGGACACACACAAAGTGACACATACAGAGACAATCCCCACAGACACAGCACCCAGAGAGGCACACACCACACCAAAACCTAGACACAGGGACCCACCCAGAGCTCCCTGTTCCTGGGCTGGCCCTCGAGGAAGCAGCAGGCTTAGGATGGAAAGGGGGCTGGCCGCCTCACTTGTCCGCTCAGCCTGACTGGTTCCACCAGGCCATGGATGGCACCACCCGCCTTATGAAACCCTTGTTGGGCAACTGGACCCAGACCTGGCCTGGACTCCTAGATTCTGGGGAGAAGGGGCTGGGTGTCCCATTCATGGATTCTAGGGCGGAGCGGAGGGGGATTGGGACCTGGACTCTCAGGTCCTGAGGACAGAGGGCTGGGGGCCAGAATCCTGGGTTTTGGGAAAAGAGGGGGCCAGGTACTTAGATTCCTCTGTCTTTGAAGATAGGGCTCCATGTTTAGCAAATAAAAATACAGGATGCACAGTTAAATTTGTAAAAGGCAAAAGATTTATGTGACCTGAAGAGAAATCAGAGTATATATAGGATGACCAGTTAAATTTGAATTCAGATTAACAACAAATTTTTGTTAGTATAAGTATATCGCAAATATTGTGTGGGACATGCTTATACTAAAACAGTATTTGCTGCCCTGGCCGGTTCGGCTCAGTGGATAGAGCGTCGGCCTATGGACTGAAGGGTCCCGGGTTCGATTCTGGTCAAGGGCACATGCCCAGGTTGTGTGCTCGATCCCCAGTAGGGGGGGTGCAAGAGGCAGCTGATTAATGATTCTCTCTTATCATTGATGTTTCTATCTCTCCCTCTCCCTTCCTCTCTGAAATCAATAAAAACATATTTTAAAAAAATAAAAATAAAAACAATATTTGCTGTTCCTCCGAAATGCAAATTTAACTGGGCATCCTGCACTTTATCAGGCAATCCTATCTGAGGGGGAGGAGGCCAGATGCTAGAGACGCTGCCTGGTCACCCCAGGCCTCTCCTCTTCCTGCCCCTCCCCTCCCCTCCCCCTCCCCCCTAAGCAGGCCACCTCACAACTTCCCCAGTCCCTGTTTCCTCATCCACATGAGTTGCTGTATCTAATTGCTGCCCCAGGCAGTGTAAGAGTGGGGAGAGGAAACTGGAGGAGAGCTCCGGTTGTCATACTGGAAGCCCCAGGGTCCTCAGAGATGACTGACCCTGAGTCACCTGCACCCCATGGTCTGACGGCTGGGGGAGAGGGAGGCTTGTGGCTGCCTCCACAGAGCAGGCCTGGAAAGGGGGAGATGCCCAGGAATGAGGCCAAGACCGCAGAAGGGCAGAGACATGGAGTTTGGAGGAGAGAGACTCAGAGGTGGGGGGACAGAGGACCAGAGAAATCTGGAAACATTGGCAGAGATGCAAAAAGAAAGAGAAGAGACTCAGAGCTGGAGACAAAGATGCAGGGATGGGGGACAGGGACACTGAAACGGAAGTAGAGAGAGCTCCACAGACATTCAGATTCCCGGCGGAGGGATGGGCACACGCAGGCGAGATGCCGAGCACTGCCCACAAGTCCGGGGCAAGGACAGCAGCCACCCGTGTGGGGCCAGAGACCAAGGCTTGGGGCCTGCTGTGTTGAACCAGGGGGTTGGGGGAAAGCTGAGATCCCCGGGGAACAGGGTGCTCCACCTGCCATCACCCCATGCCCAGTGCGGTGACGACACCACCTTCTCTGCAGGTGACACCCCAATTTTCCAGTGCCTCCTACATTTTTGGGGTGACACCCGTCCTGGGAACCCCACCCGGCTCTAATGCTGCTTCCCTCACTGAGTCACCTCCAACCCCGCCAGGCTTGTTGGAGGGGAGACCTTGGTGACTCAGGCATCCAGGCCCCCAGCTTTCACCCCCAGGAACCCCGCAGGTCCGAGTCCCAGGACCCTGCCCCACTGAGGGATGCAGCCGGCCTAACCCAAGAATCTGGACCCCAGCCCTTCCTCCCTCAGACCCAGGAGTCCAGGCCCCTGGTCCTCCGCTCTGTTAGGACCAGGAGGCCTGGACCACAGCCGCCTCCTTCAGGAACCAGGCTTCTCAGTTCCCAGCCTCCTCCCTTCCCAATTTGGAGGTGGGGTGAGGTGTGTTTATTTACTTTGGTTCCAACATGAATCGCAGCCAAAACACACTGCCCCCCCGCCACGTGCCCCAGGGCCCTGAGTGGGAGGACAGTGCCCCCTCTCCCAGGGAAATGGGGACCTCACTAAGGATGATGGGAGAGGCCTCAAAGGGAGCCCTCGCTGCACTCCCTCTGCACTGCAGGCCTTTCTTCTCTCCCCTCTCCCTTCCCTCCGAGTCCAGTGGTTTCCACTGCCTCCCCCTACCTGCCCCTCCACCTTCCCATCTCTCTTCTCTGAATGTGTCTCCCCCTCCTTTCATTTCTCCCCAGATCTTTGTGCCTCTCTGTCTAGGCATCTATTTCTCCATCCCTCTATGTCTTCTCATCTCCCTCCATATATCTAAAACTCTCTCTCTCTGCCCTGGACCTCCCTTCTGTCTCTGTGTCCCCTTCCTTCGCCATGTCTCTCCCTCTCTTTTGGTCTCTGTCCTTTGACCCAGCTGTGCCCCTCGCACCTTGGCTCCGCCTTCCCTTCCCAGCACTGGGCCCACTCCCCTTTCTATCCCCACTCCAGCTCCTCATCCCTGGACCCTCCCCCACAATTTCCTGGTCTTCTGAAGTCCTGGAGGAGGGCTAGTGAGGGGAGGGGGAGGGGTGGAGAGGGAGGAGGGGCAGTTCCGGTGGTGGGGGGAGAGGTTCAGCCTGACCGGCTGGGCTCCCTGGGCACCTCTGTCAGAGCCCCGCCCAGGCCTGTGGCCCGCCCCAATATAAGCAGCTCCGGGCCTGAGACTGAGAACTCAGTGCCCGAGTCATCCACACCTGTCTCCATCATCGCCATCGCATCGCGCCCTCCTGCAGGTAGGCACCCCACCTCCCCTCCCCCGAGCCCTCTGCTCTGAGGTCAGGCCTCTGCTCTGCTCTCCCCCCACACCGCTCCACTCACACCTCTGTCTTCTTGCAGATCTCTCTCTCTGGACATCCCTGTCTTTCTCAGTGCTGCCTGTGCCCCTCCTCAACCTGAGTACCACTGGGTTGAGTTTGGAAATCCTAAGGCCTAGCACCCCCTCTACTAACCCCCTTGGCATCGGATGTGGGACATTTCTCTTCACCTTCCTCAGCCTCGGTGTTCCATCTGTGAAAGGGGCTTGCGGAGAAGTCAGTGCTGGGCAGGCATGAGCGTGAGTGGTGGCATCTCTGTGGGCACCTGGCGCTGAGCTCTTCCTCCCGTATCTCCCACTCAGCCTGTCTGTCTCTTGGTCTCTCTCTCCAGCTCTACCTCTGGAAGGAGGAGGGTCCTCTGGGGTCTGTCGGGCAGCTCTACAGAGATGGGCGAGTTTCTCGCCCCCACCCCATACACCCCTACCCCCAGTCTCTTCTAGCAGCAGGCTGACGTGGCCTATTTCTCCCCAGCACCCTTCCCCTGAGAACCCAGTGCCCCCGCCCTTGCCCTCCCCTCCCTCAGCATCCAGTGTCCCTAGGACAGACTCCGCTGCTGTCACCGCTGCCACCTCCGCCGTCCCCAACGCCACCTCCTCAGGGCCAGCAAGATGCAGTTTGAGATGCACGACAACGTGAAAGGCAAAGGTGGGATCACTGGATGGACCAGCAACCCCTCCAGTCCCTGGAACCTGGCTGCTTCCCTCCCCTGGGCGCCCTGGCTTCGAAGACAGACGGCACCTGCCTGCTTGTACCCCAAAGGCCCCTGAAATGCAGGAACCCAGCACCCCAGGCCCAGACGTGGAGAAGGCGGCAGCACGTCTCAGCCCCGCCCACATGTGGCAGCACCCTTCCCAGTCGTGCAGGAGCCCCAGCCCCAGCTCAACCAGATGTGCAGGAGGCAGCGGCCTGGGGACAGGCCGGGGTGCTGATGCCCAGATGTGGCAGAGGGAAGGGAGCTCAGTGGTGTCCCCTCAGTGGGCGGCCTGCTGGCCGCGCCCAGACTGCCCGGCAGAGGGAGGGGCGGCGGGTGCGGGGACTCAGGAGGCGCTGCGAGGCTGCCCGCTGACCCCGTCCCCCACTCCACAGCCATGTCCTACCCAGTGACCAGTCAGCCCCAGTGTGCCACCAGCTGCTACCAGACCCAGATCAGCGACTGGCACACCGGGCTCACGGACTGCTGCAACGACATGCCCCTCTGTGAGTGCCCGCGCTCCCCCCAGGCCCCTTCCAACACGCCCCTCCTGCGCCCCACTCCCCTCTCCCCTCCTTGGACCCTGAATTCCCACTCTACCCCTCACGCCTTCCTCGGACCCCAAAACTTCCTGGGGTCCTGACCTCACACCTTCCAGCTCCCCCACCACTTCATACCTTATTTCTCAACCACTAATCCCCCTCCCCCTCAACTGCCCGGGACCTTCACCTCCCCGCGCTCAGGTCCCTCTGGGACCTTCAACTTGGCTCCAGAGACCCGGCAGGAGGTGGGGGGCGGGGGGACCTCCCTGACCGCCCGCTCCCGCCGCAGGTCTGTGTGGCACTTTCGCCCCCCTGTGCCTCGCCTGCCGCATCTCCGACGACTTCGGCGAGTGCTGCTGCACGCCCTACCTGCCCGGAGGCCTGCACTCCCTGCGCACCGGCATGCGGGAGCGCTATCGCATCCAGGTGCCGGGGGCGGCGACAGGGGCCAGGGGTGGGGACTGGTCTCCTGGACCCGGCAGGGCTCCTAACCGCTCTCTCCCACCCTCTAGGGCTCCATCGGGCATGACTGGGCGGCCCTCACCTTTTGTTTGCCCTGCAGCCTCTGCCAGATGGCGAGGGAGCTGAAGATCCGAGAGTAAAGGGTCCCCCTCCCACCTCCCCCTGGAATGCTGCCTCCTCTGCCCCTCCTGGGAGGGGCTGCCCCTCCGCCTATCCTGACACCAGAAATACACCCACAATAAAAACCTGAAAACCAGCTCCGCCTACATCTTCTGTCCCAGGGAAGGAATCTGGGTGGAGAAGGAGGTTTGGTGAGGAAGGTGGAGACACGGGGAAGATGCCTAGGTGTGGAAGGAGTTCAGGGCAGATCTTTCTCACACACACACACCCCCCTGCTGTGGATGACACTGGCCAGTCTCTTCCCTCTCTAGGCCAGGGTGTCCCCAATAACAAACCAAAACCACTCACCCCTTAGCTGCCTGTCTGAAGCTCTGCCCAGATTGTGAAAGTAAGCAGACCCAGAGGCCATCTTGGTAGGATCCAGGCACTCAAGTTCAGAGAGAAGTTTTAGGACAGCCCCTGCTCCTCTACTGCCTACAGATCCTTAGCCTACACACAACTCTAACTGTCAGGGGACCTTTGTTTCCTAACAGAGAACTGCCAGGTTTAGGGCTTTCTGGAGCAGGAAGGCATCCGATTGGATCCACTCTATCACAAAAGCAGCTACAGATTAGAAAACATTCTGGTCTCAAAATTGGACCCGGGAGCCCATCTTGACTCTTGCCACGTTCTGTGTCGTCAGTGAACTAACACACCTTTCCGAGCCCGTGTCCTCTGGGGGCGATCCCTATAGGTCATGTGTGGCTACTGGAGGGCAAGAGGTGGAACAGATGGGAAGGCCAAGCGTGAAAATAAACTATTGTTGCTGGTCGTTAATATTATTTTATGTAGAGTACAAGATAACTATGCAAATGCTAATGTCATTTGTTGTAATTGTTCTCGATCTGTGGATCCAACCAGAGTGACAACTTCACTTGGAACATCCAATCGGCGTCTCAAATTTAACATGTCCAACCCTTCACTCGGTTTCCCGCCCAAACCCCTTTCACAGGGAACTAGCAGGCCCCAACCTTCCGGGCGCTCCGTCACTTTCTCACCCAGCATCCAACCTGTAAACAAATCCTGCCTGTTCTTTAAAAATATACCCAGAATCTCATTTCTCCTCACTCGCGCCCCCACACTGTTCCAGCCACCCTCCTCTGCAGCCTGAATGCAGGGCTCCCGGGCCCCCCCCTTTCGCCTCTTCCCCACAGAGGAGCCCTGTGAACATCGGAGTCGGATCACATCCCTCCTGTGCTCAGACCCTCTCATGTCTCCTCCCACAGAGGAAGAGCCGAGTGCTCACCGGGGCGGGGCCGGCACCATCTGCCTCTTGCTCCCTCTGTAACCTTGTCTTCTTATTCTCGCCGCTCCAACCACACAATCGCTTTGTTGTTTCTCTAAAAGGCCAGGCACACTTCCACCTCGGGGCCTTTGCACTGTTCCCTCAACTTGGAATTCTTTTCCCCTCAGGTGCCTCTTCACTCCTTCACTTCTGCTCACAAGTCATCTTATGAGAGAGGCCTTCCCTTCCCATCTTACATTAAGTAGCAAGCATGAGCTCCCTTGCCCTTCCGTCATTGCCTTGTTGTCCTAGTCATCTCCCAACAGACCCCATCATTTACTTACTGTCAGCTCCATGAGGGCAGGGAGCGTTCATTTGTGTCCCCGGCACCTTGGACAGTGTGTGGAGATAAGTGACCACAGGTGGGAGACACGGATTTAACAAAGGGAAGTGATTTTAGAGGTGATGGGGAGGGGCAGTGGAAACTCGGGCTGATGTCAGAATCTGGGCTCGCCTGTTAATTAGCCCTGAGGTCTTAGGCAAGGGACTCGGCTTCTGCACCCACAAGATGAGGGGACGAGCCTTTATCTCCCAGCAGGGATGCTGGGAAGACTAGGAGCCATGCCAAGCACCAGGTATAGTGCCTGGCGTGCCCTTGGAAACATTTCCCCCTTTTCCTGAGCGTTACCAATCCTTAGGGCATTGGTGGCCACACACAGGCTAGAATCAGGCCTCGCCCCTCCCTCACCCAGGTCTTCTCACACTCCAGACGCCCCTGGCATTCAGGAGTGCGGCTACCAGGGAGCGGGGGCAGCCAAGGGGCTGACATGGAGGGAAGAGGGCGTTTGTACAGACACCTGCAGGCCAGTGACAAGACTTGGAGGAAGGGTGGCTCTGCATCCGGAGAAAAGGCGCAGTGCCATGCTCTCCTCAGGAAGGCAACGTCCCAGGTGACAGCGAGGAGAGGCCTTGCCTAAGGGTTCCCGCCTGGTCACGCAGAGTGACCTCTGCACTGGCCCTGAGACTCAGGCAGAAGCAAGTGGCAGGCTCGGTTCCTGGTGAGGGCACATACCCAGGCTGTGGGTTCGATCCCTGTTCAGGACACGTACGGGAGGCAATCAATCAATGTATCTGTCTCCCTTCCTCTCTCTGGAATTAATAACAATAAAGTACAGACGAGCCTGGTGGTCAGGCATCTGGATTTGAGAATCAGAAGGTCTGGGTTCAGATGACAGCTGTCACTCAACAGCTAAAAATCTGTTTCCTCATCTGCAAAAAGGGGATGCATGGTACCTACCTCATACAGCTGATGGAAATATCAAATGAAACCGCAGCAGTTAGCAAGCCCGCAAACTGTCTAGCACCGGGACTCAGTAAATACAAGTTCAGTCACAGCTTGGAGGTAAGGTGCTACCGTCAGCTCATGAAGGCAGAGAAATCCCTGAAAATCACAACTGCCAGAAAGTCTGTAAACACTATGACATTCACAGACCGCACCGGAAACCCATCCGCTCCTAGGTCCAGAACATCAGCACGTCCTGGCTAAATGTCAGGTGAAGCAGCCTGCTTGGGGCCTCGAGGCCGAGCTGCACAGAAAGGTACATGAACACTCGCAGCGAGGCGCCTGTGACGGAGGCCACCACGGGGCCGGGGACCTGCGGCTCCCACCTCCCCTCGCCTCAGCGCTCCTGCTGCCGTGGGACTGGCAGATAAAGCTCCCAGGATGCTTTGGTTTGGGCTGTGAGAGTCTACTTGGATTAGAGAAAGCTCGTCATGCTAGGGCCTCTTTCAGTCTCCGTGCCCGAACTCTCTTACATCAGGGGCCAGAATCACACCTGGTCCTGGGACAAAGGCAAGTGTGTTTTCCCTCCTAAAAGAGGTCTCCCTGCGACAGAGATCTGGGGAAGAGTCCGAGGCCTCACTGCCCTCACATCCCTTGGTTTGTCCCTCTGGGAACAAGAGCTTCTATGTGGCACCACCCCAACTCCTGCCCAGGAGGGGCACAGAGGAGCCCAGGCCTGTGGCTTAGAGCGGCACCAAGGGTCAGGGTCAGAGCCCAGGGGCCCGTCTCCTGCATGCAGAGCGCGTGGGACACCGGTCTTCCCACACTCTTTATTTGTTAATTCGATCATTCCCCATTCTCTCAGCCGGCCCCTGGCAGAGGGGAAGATGCAGGGCCCAGCTCTCCAAGGTCCAAAAAGCAGCTGACGGATGAAGTCTCGGGAAAGGAGAGTCTCAACTTCAAGATGGCTAGGATTGGAGGTGGGTGTCCTCAAGGGGGAGAGGAGCTCAGAAGTCCAAGGTGATGGCCGAGGTGGGGAACGGCCCCTGGGAAAACCCAAAAGTCTTCCAGGCGGCATTGTCTGGCATGCTGAGGGCTCCACCAGTTTTACCTCCCACCTTGGTGTCCACCCCAACCCCCTCGCCCCCATGCCTGGGGCACCTCAGGCAGTGGCTTTGTCTCCTGGCACTCCCTCTGAGCCTGTGACCCTAGTCCTGGGGTCAGGCAACACCGCCAGAGCCCTGCCCCTCCAGCCAAGGGGTGGCAGCAGCTGCTTCCTGTCCCTGGGCTGCCTCACTGTCCCGCCTGACTCTTCTCAGCCTTGCCCTCCACCAGCCCAGCCATCCCTGCATTCAATTCCTTCTGCTGAGATACTGAGTGGCTTCTGTTCCCATTTGCACCTGACTTGAGATGTCTAAAGGGCATTTTAGGCCCCAAACTAGGCTCCTGATCTGCCCCAAGCCCCATTCTGCCCATGTTAATAAATGACCCAGTCCTGCCCGAGGTTTCTCAGTGGTTAGAGCGTTGTCCAGCACACCAAAGTGTCTTGGGTTCAATTCCTGGTCAAGGGCATGTACCTGGGTTGCAGGTTCCCTCCCGCCCTTGGTTGGGGAGTTCAGGAGGCAACCAGTCAATGTGTTTCTCTCTCCCTCCCTTCCACTCTCTCTGAAAAGAAAAACAATGGAAAAATATCCTCAGGTGAGGATTAACAAAAATAATAATAATAAACGACTCCATCATCCATGGGCCACAAAGTTAGGGTCCTTCTGGCTTCCTCCCTCCCTCATGCTGACACTCACACTACCCATACACCCTTCTACCCACATCCTGCTCTGTCCCCGACTCCCCCTCCCACAGCCACCACCCTGATTCGGCCCATCATCCTCTCTTGTCCCGCTGCTGTCTCGCTCAGCCCTTCCAATCCATTCTCCCAGCCACAGCTGAGTGACCTCTTAAATAGGTACATCGGATCCTGTCATCCCCCCTCATAAAACTGTCCATCAGCTTCCCATTGCCCTGAGAACAAAACCCCAAACCCTATCTGGGGCCCACAGGCCCTGGGTGATCCAGCCCCAGGGGCCTAACCCTGGCCCTGTCTCCTCTTCACTCAGTTGGGGTCACACTGGCCAGCTTTACGATCTTCCCACTGAAACAGCTGGCTTGCACATCAGGAACCTGTTCCCTCTGCCTGCACACACTTCCCCCAGCCTTTCCTTCTGTTCTTATCTAGCTTCTCAGATGCCCAGTTGACTTTCCACATCAGTCCCACAAGACTAGGGACACTTCTGCCTCGGTTCCCCTTTGCCCGGTCCTGTGCCTTCAACAGTGCCTGGCACACAGTAGGGACTCAATAAATAATTGTTAAATGCACAACGAAGGAGGCCTTGTCTGGGGACCCCCAGGGGAAGGAAACCAGAGTCCTCTGAGGACAATGTCCAGGGGCCCCCACGGGCACTTGGCTGCTGTGGCTGAGGGACCCGGCCTGTCAGAGGGACATGCTGGTGAGATTGTCCTGGCTCAGAAGTCCCTTCCGACCTACACCAGCCCCGTGACCACTGCCCCCAGCACCCCCACCGCCCCCACAGTATTC